AAGTAGTGATAGAGGAGAAGCGCCGGCTTTTGATATCTATAAAGATGATACTTGAACCGTAAAGATCTTGTAACCAGAGATTGCTGTCGCGAGGGTGGAACATCCGTTTCAAGGCATTTGAAGAGGTTGTGCAGTCTTATCTTGCTCACCGATGCACAAGTGAGCTTGCTCACCGATGCACAAGTGAGCTTGCTCACCGATGCACAAGTGAGCTTGCTCACCGATGCACAAGTGAGCTTGCTCACCGATGCACAAGTGAGCTTGCTCACCGATGCACAAGTGAGCTTGCTCACCGATGCACAAGTGAGCTTGCTCACCGATGCACAAGTGAGCTTGCTCACCGATGCACAAGTGAGCTTGCTCACCGATGCACAAGTGAGCTTGCTCACCGATGCACAAGTGAGCTTGCTCACCGATGCACAAGTGAGCTTGCTCACCGATCCACAAGTAGCTCCGGCAGTCTCTCATGTGTAAGGCTAGCCACCAGTAGCTCTGTGACATCAACACGTCCCTCGATCGCAGTCTCCTGGGAGTTGCTGATTTGATCCTACTCAAAGCTGACGATCAAGAGACTTGAAATAACAGTCAGACTCGGAATCGACTAGTACCTCCCAGTGTTTTCCGGCAACTTCATGTCCGGTCCGCAGTGTAGCTGATATCCGACCGACCAATCTGGCTGGGGAGAGGCTTGTTGTTCCTAGAGTGCATCCGAAGATCGATCAAACAGATTGTGGCTGGGATACTAGTGATAGGGCTGACTTGAAACAACTTGCGGCTAGAGAGAGAGCCTGATTGAAGAGAAGAGTCATCCGAATGTGTGTAACGAGACTTGATGGGATTGCACGAGTTTGCAGCAGAAACGAAAAAAACACCAACAAACAGAAACTGCAGAAAACATCATGACTGACCAGACATGAGATCAACATGGTTGGCATGTATACGAGGCTTGAGACTCCTGGGTCATGACGGATCGAAATCAAGCTTGTTGCAAGTGGACCGACGTTGTGTGACGCACGGAAGTCTCGAGTCTGATTTTGAAAGCAGACCCGAGAATTTCAAAGTCTTTGAGACTTTGAAACTCATTCCAGTGTCACACAACTCCGCAAGCTCCGAGCGACTGTGTGCAAGAGCCGCCGCTTCGTAAACAGTCCTCCGAGTGTACCGGCAGACACTCGCCAACCTACTTGGCTCAACGCCGAGGACCGAGCTCAGGAGTACCCGTAGTCAGGTCAGACTGTTAGGCTAGGTAGCACCCGGGTGTGTAGACAGGTCATAGGCTACTAGGATGTCTCGCGAGGTCTTCTCTGGCAAGGGATCGAGTGAGACCGGGTTACCCGTTAATGAGAGTTGGCGTGTATGGACTATGGTGGAGGGGTGGCTTCGGCCCTGTGGTGGGTGAGGGGGTGGTGCTGAGGAATGGATCTGGTCTTGTGCTGACCGCTGACGTGGCTATCAAAGACCACCATCAGAAGCATGACGACTGAGTCACTCTCTTTCCTCTCTCATGGACGCGATTCCAACCCCCCCGATGTCTTCATCCATCCTCCCCTTGGACAAGACAAGGCCTCCAACCTCTTCCTCCTGAATGCCGGTTTTCGCTGCCTCCTTCGTTTCCTAGTATTTTATTGAGGCGGGTTTGTTGGCTCTATCCTCCCCCTCCTTTGTTTGCTCCGGTTTGTCCTTCTTGCTCAGTCAATAAATTGAATGATCACTTGCTTTCCTTTCTCTCCTCCCATGCATCTCTCCCTCGCACCCATCACGCCATCTTGCTCTAGAGTCACTTTGCTCGGACTCTTGTTTGTCTTGGCAACACCTTCTTCCATCTTGCTCTAGAGTCACTTTGCTCGGACTCTTGTTTGTCTTGGCAACACCTTCTTCCACTCTCCCGCGTGAGACGCTGCCATCGGTCACCTGACGCCGCGCGTCGACCCGAGACGAAGAGACAAGTTGGTTCGTGCCGAGCATCGTCTGTCCCAAGAGTCATCGTGTGCTGATCAGAGGATCTCAGCTGCTCCCGGCTCTGATCTCATTACTGCTCCTCGGGTCACTGAGCACTCGCTCACACAGTGTGTAACTCCGGATCTTGAATGTTTGATCGATCAGAGTTCGTTTCACTCCTCCCCCCTCACACACCCCAGCGCCACGGCCACGAGCAGCGCCGCCTTCTGCTTCCTCTCAAGAGACCAGCATGAGGAGACTGTCGCTGACTCACTCTGCTTCCTCTCAAGAGACCAGCATCAGGAGACTGTCGCTGACTCACTCTGCTTCCTCTCAATCAGATCTCAACATCTTCGCTTTCCATCTCATTCGCATCTCATTGGGTTTGAGGGCTTTACTCTCAGCGACTTCTTCTTCCCGCAAATCGAACACCAGGTGATCTGTCTCTCTCACTCATGATCGCACTTGCATCATCACAACATACTGCTCTTGTGTGATCTGATCTGACTGTTTGCGTTTCCGGGGAACACAGCCCCTCGTTCCTTCTCGGACTGCATCTGTACCTCATCATCTGCTCCGAGGCTCGTACCGTGAGCTGAACGCGCCATTGCGTCCTGGAAGTTTTGCACCGTGCGGTTCATCTACGAGTAATACTGTCAGTGTTGATCGGAGCACTACTGTACGGCCATCTTGTACGTCGACGTGTTCACCAGGCTCTGACTTACCGTTGTCGTTGAGTGTGTTCTCTGTCTCTGGTTCAATTCACTGTCACGGCGATTCTCTTCACAGAGCTTCTTTCACTCGAATGTGCAATATCGTATTCTTGGTGTAAAGTTGGTACACGAGAGTGACAGTGTTGGAGTGCGCTAATAGTTTGACTGGCACGGCCGGCACTGGCATGCGATCCTTCAAATCCCCTTGAGACTCAGTCGCCCGCCCGGCCGCCGCCCGGGGCTCGACTCCGGGCCGGTGACTCCCGGCGGCCGGGCACTGCACACAGACAGCGGCATGGGCCCGGCACTGGTTACCGTACCGTACTATGGTAACTGGTGACTACTGTTCAGGCGGACCCCGGGCCCGGCCCCGGGAGGTATTCGGAGGGCCCGGGCCGGGCCGGGCGGCCGGGCGGCAGGAGCCGGGCCGGGCCGGGCGCCGGTACTGGAAACTTCACCGTTCAGGCGGAGCCGGGCCCGATACGGGCTAGCCGGTACTGTGACTCTTTACTCAAAGTACCGTAGTACGGTGACTCACTTGAATAACTAATTAAGTAAGAGCGTTTCGCGGATATCCTGAAATCAGAGGGCAGGATTTCAAAGTTCGCGGATGATGTCTAAAAACTTTGAGTAAAGACCAGTCTAACGGACAAAAGTAACTGACCGTAGTGCGATGATTGTCTACCCCTACCGTCGGTCCGACCTAAGTCAGAGTCTGATACCGGTACTTTATCCATAATAACAGTGGAGTAGAGACGGTAGGGTACCCTACCTGTACCCGTGTAATCCCCTCGGGTACCCCTACCCGTTGTACTGATGAGATCAGACGGGGTACTCAATCCTTCATTTCCCAAAAACAGGTTGACTTCTGATCAGGGGTGGGGTAGTAGGCTGAGGAAAGTACGGGTGGTGTGCCCTCCCTTCCTAAAATGCTTCTCAAAGACTGGAGGTAGGGTGGGTGTACGTATGCTTTCAGTACAGGGGGTGGTCTCGTGAGATGGTACACCCCCACCCCCTCTTGGTCAAGAAGAAGGGTGGGTATCCATGTAGACTTTTTAGAAGGGTGGGTGGGGTACCTCAAACCCGCTGATTCTCAAGTGGTGGGATGTGAGGATGTTAACTCTGTAGAGAGGTAGGGTAGGCTGGTACTGCCCACCCCTATTAAATTCAGGAAACCATGGTATTCTATAGGGTAGGGTAGGGTCATATCACAGGAAGGGGTGGTCGTGAATGTGCTTATAACAATGGAAGCGATTGAAGAGCGGGAGGAGAGAGGGAGAGAGGATGGAAGGAGCTTGAGGGAGGGTGAGGACAAGCTTGTCATGTCGCTAGAGTGTGAGAGATGTCTTGTAGCTGCTGCAGAGAGAAAGAGACGTGACAACAGACAGAAGAAAGGAGAAGAGAGGAGGGAAAAGAAACGGCTGATGGAAGGTTTTTTGGCATTCTTGTTTGCAAGTAGAGGGAAGCTAGAAACGTTTTGCGCTTTTCCTTTTCTCATACTGCCATTCTCCCCTCTTTCTCTTCCAACAAAAGGAAGTGAAGAGAAGAGATAATTAAGAATGCCACGAGGGAAGAACTTGTGCTGTGTGTAGATGACAAGCCTTAGGTTTATGTGTAAGACAACAAGATCGTATCACCCCTCTAAGCAACTCTCGATGACATGACGCTTGTGACAGGCGTTGAGATCTGTTGGGCCTTGTCCCCTCCTGCTAGACTGGTACGGCATGGGGAAGGATGTACAGACAGAGATTCTAGAGCTGGAGCGTGAGCTCTTGACCTTGAGAGTCAAGAATGAAGTGCTGCTCGCCCACTCCTCCGCTCTCGCTCAAATCAGAAATCCCACGGCTCATCCACCAGCTAGTGCCCAGCAGACGACCAGCTGGACTATCCCCGACGACATCAGCTCTGACCTCAAGAAGCTCTTTCAGACCCCTCGAGACTCAAAGGATTACAAAACGATTCTCAACAACCTCCGCATGGCTCTCGGCGTCGACGCGTCGGCCCTCAGCCCTGACAAGCTCTCGTACGATGACTACGAGGTCAGAGTCGCAAGAGAGTGGGAGCTCGAGCGCAAGGCCAGCAGCCTCGGCGACCTCAACATCCTTCGAGTCATGGCGGAGTGCATCCCCGGCGGGAGCGCGGCGAGTCCTCTTGCGGGGCTACAGGGGATGACGGAGAGCGCTCTATCGGCTCTATGGCAGACGGCGATAGGGAGGAGGCTCGAGGAGGCGCTGAGGAGGCCGGCAGAGGCAGGAGGGCGGGCGGGAGGAGACGGTCCGACGTCGCACAACAGCAAGTTTGCGGTGAATGAGTCGGACGGTACAGGCAGCAGGGAGGTACGCGAGGCCGTGTACGGGAAGATCGAGGAGTACTACGGGGGGCTGATGGAGCGGATCGGGCTACCTCAGACGGAGCTGATGAAGGCGATAGAGGAGGAGCACTGCAAGGGCAAGGACGCGGAGGAAGCGTTCACGACGAGCAACTACGGGATCAGGACGACAGCCAAGGAGGAGTGGCTCAACGTCACAGACCCGGAGAGGAGGCGGAGGCTGTCGGACGGGACGCGGGTGATCCGAGGGATGGAGGAGCTGAAGGGGCTGGACACGGCGATGAAGGCGGGGCTACAGGAGGCGGAGCTGATCGCGCTGCAGCTCTACACAGGTAAGAGAGAGAGATAGCGAGAGAGGGAGAAGGAGCGTTGGGGAGGAGAGTGGAGCAAGAGAGCGTGAGATGGCTGACAAGAGGCTTGCTATGACAGGGCCGATGTACTTCAAGTACAACTCTGTTCTTCGAGCTCCCAACGAGCTCCTCCGAGACTCCAACAAGGTCCCCAACAAGTACACGACGACCATCCACTGCATCGTCAGCGGCATCGTGAAGCTGTCTCGTCACACGCCTCTGCCGGAGGGGCTGCGGGTGTGGAGGGGGCTGAAGGGGATGAGGCTGCCGGAGAGCTTCCTCAACGAGGACAAGCTCGGGGTGTCCGGAGGAGTCGAGTACGGGCTGCTGAGCACGACGACAGACGTCAGGAAGGCGATGCAGTACGCCGGGGAGGAGGGAGAGTCGATCGTGTTCGAGATCAGCTGCGGGGCGATCGACCGGGGGGCGAGCTTGACGTTTGTGTCTCAGTATCCGGGGGAGGGGGAGATGCTGTATCCGCCGCTGTCGTACCTGGAGGTGGTGAAGACGCCGCGGTACAGGGAGGTAGAGGGGAGGCGGGTGAAGGTGCTGGAGCTGAAGATCAACGCGAACACGATGAGCTTGACGATCGAGGACTTTGTGGGGAAGAGGAAGCAGCTGTATGTAGGGCTGATGGAGAACCTGGCGAGGGAGGTAGAGCGAGACGTGAGGGGGTGGGAGGGGAGGATCCAGGAGCGGCTCAGGACAGCAACATTCGATTCTTTTCAAAAGACACATAATAATCTGGTGAGGTCGATCGTGGAGGAGAGCTGGGGGCTGGTGGAGGCGAGCAGGGCGAGGGAGTCGGGCTGGTACAACGACGAGTCAAGATACAAGGAGGCGATCGAGCTGTCGAACCGAGTGAAGGACATGGCGATCAACAAGCTCAGGCACTGGATCGAAGACACTCAGGGAGACGAGAAATGTTTAGCCCTTGCACGCGAGCCGATGCAGTCAGTGTACTGGAGGACGATGGCGGGTCTGATGTACAAGATCAGCTCGCGGACTCCAGCAGGCGATGACGGCAGACGAGAGCAGAGCAAGAGGCTGTGCGGGATGTACGGCTTGTCGATGTCAAGGTCGGGCCAGCACGGGGAGCCGCCGACAGTGACGGCGGTGGTACGAGGACAGGGGGAGCTGATCGGGCTGCTGAAGGCGACCGAATGCGACATGGACGAGTGGATGGAGGACGGGAGGACAGGGCTGCATGTAGCGGGGATGCTGGGGAGGGCGGGGAGCGTGAGGGAGCTGATACAGGCAGGTGCAGAGGTAGGAGCGAAGGACGATGAATGGAAGACGATGGTGCACTGGGCGGGGGAGTATGGGCATGTGGAGGTACTGAAGACGGTAGAGGAAGAATGCGGGAAAGAGACTCTGAGGACCTTGATGATGGAGAGGAGCAATGACGGCAAGACATGCGCGCACTATGCGAGTGCAGGTGGGCACTTGGAAGTGCTGCGGTATGCTGTAGAGACATGCGGGGAGGAGCTGCTGAGGGCGAAAGACAATGGCGGCAGGACATGCGCGCACTTGGCGAGTCTCAGAGACACTTTGGAGGTAGTGCGGTATGTTGTAGAGACATGCGGGGAGGAGCTGCTGAGG